GAGGAGATTGGAGCTTGGAAGAGGAATTTGGTGGAAGGAGCTTGAGAAATTAGAGGCTAGCATCAAGGGGCTTGTGTAGATCTGGGATCTACATCAGTTTGGGCACATCTCAGAGGTAAGGAGCCATTATCTTAAGCTATTTCCTTTTTGGGTTCATCTTTCGTGGTTGATTTGGAGTTCCTTAGCGTGTTTGAGACCTATTTCCGGTTTGGAGTTTAGATCTGAGGTTGCTACTCCAGATCTAAGCTTGTGATGGTCCTTAATGCCATAAAACTCCTGTCTAAGAGTTATTGGTGAAGCCCCTTTGTCATAAACCCTAGCCCTAGAGTGTTTTGGGCTTATATCTCCTTGGTTTCACGTAAAGTTTGCAACTTTATATGAGGGTTAGGTTGTAGAAGAGTGGATATATGGATTGGAGCCCCTGCATGGCTCGAAAAGCCTCTGTATGGATTGAGAACTGAAGAGACTCGACGAGTCACATGGGTGTACTCGACGAGTTGTATGAACATGTGCATGGACTCGGCGAGTTGGAAGAACAACTTGGCGAGTCTGTTGAAGATTGCCTTGGACTCGGCGAGTCTGTTCTTGGACTCGACGAGTCTGGTCGCGAAACCCTAACCTCTTCTGGTTAAGCCTCGAATCGGTGAGTTGAGGGACGACTCTGTGAGTTGAGCTGGATGGGACTCGGAGATCGTTGGACTCGACGAGTCTTGGGGCGACTCGGCGAGTTGAGTCGTGTTATGGGAGTTTCTGAGTATAGGAACTCGACGAGTCGACGGGTCAACTCGGCGAGTAGAGTCAACCAGGAAGGTTGACTTTGACTGAGGACTTGGACTTTGACCAAGAGTTGACCAGTTTGACTTCCAAGGGTATTTTGGTAATTTTGGTATTTATGGAATTGGTTCTTTGGTAGTGTTCTGTGGTGAAGTTCGTGTCGGTGGTCGGAGCAGCTTGGTCTTATCTCTTCGGTCGGCAATTGCAGGTGAACTTAATGGTTTTGAATGAATTAAAATGTTTTAATTTGGTTGAAATTTTTGGTCGTTACAGATTTAGGGTTTCAACTCACAGCGCCTACTCGGCGAGTCTACACCCAGACTCGTCGAGTAAATCATTAAACCCACGTGGCCATCCCGACTCTACTCGACGAGTTATAGCGCCAACTCGTCGAGTAGGTCAATGATCCTCAAAAATAAATACTTCAAATTACATACCTGGGAATCCGGACGTTACAGGTTGGCAGTTTGTTATAAACTCAAACCGTATATGTGGTGTGGTTTATGGTTTTGACTATAAACCGCACCGAACTGCACCACAAACAACCCTACTAAATACTGCTAATGTACACCTACTAACATCCCTCCATAGTTTTATCGGGATGAAGCTTTTTAACATTTAAAAAAGAGTAGATGTTCGAAAATAGTGATGTGGATAAGTCGTTGGTAAATATGACTACATAATGAACAGAAGATGGAGCATAAAGAAACCAAATAAGGCCATGCATAACTTTTTTCCATACAAAGTGAATATAAATTGCACTAATTTAGAAGACATGTAGACTGTACTTATGTTTTCATAGTAAACAATCGTGGACTTTGTGGACTGGAAACATAGCTCACGAAGAAGGTTGCAATGCCAACATGTCTCAACAAGTGCATTTTACACATCGTGATATTCCAATTTTGCATTGGTTTGGAGGGCCACGAAATGAAATTATATTCCTTGAAGGCATACTAGCCTAAAGTAGACTGTCTCGTGGTCGGGCATCCACCCGAGTAATAAGTTTTGAGGATTGATGTGGGAGACGCGTGAAGGAAAACAAGTTATTGCTAATTAATCGCATCAAATCATACAAAAAGCACATTTTTTTTATTTTTAACATATAATAACATATAATCATACAAAGAATCAACACATACCCACAAATGTTGGATCTCTTCACTACTAGCCATTAGAAGAAGACATTGTTCGAAATTGATGAAGTCTGGAATAAGGGATAAACGGTAAAAAATAGTGTGTTCGGGGCAAGGTGTCTAACATGCTATATATAGGTTGACCACGTTACCATGATGGACCTTTTTACCCAATTCGAAATTCAGGTCCATAATACATATTCAAGACCAAGTGATTATTTTTCAAAACTGGTTAGTTTTTAAAAATACAACAAAAAAGTTTGTTAAATCACTCAATTTTCCAAAAAATAAAAGCTTAGAAAGACTTGATCTCGGAGAATAAATGTCAGTTTACTTTTTGTCAAAAATATTTTTGATAGCGAGCTTAAGTGCTTAACTTTGTGGAGTTAGCGGTAATTTTTTGTATCTTTGGAAAAATTTGGTATTCTCAAAATATATAACTTCAATATATGGTCATTTTATTGCCATAAACTCTATATGATTGAAATGCTGATTTAATATATGTCTAACAGAGTTTTGTTTGGCAACGAGTTTTTTTTTTTTTTTTTTTTTTTTTTTTTTTTTTTTTTAAAAGAACCTTGGGTTATAGTATGAATTAACTTTTGCGATCTTTTAAAAGCTTTAAGTTTTTAAGTTTTAACTTTTATGTTTCAGTTTTGAGTTTTTATTACACGTTTTGAAACTTATATAAGTATTTTTGCCAAATAAATTTAGATGCAACTTTTAGCTATTTGCTATCATTACAGTATATTTTAAACAAGCATACCCTAAATGTTGTTGATTTCAATCCTAACACGATTCTTTGTTTTCATAGAAAAGTGAAAATTGATGAACTAATCAAGATAATCTACATAATATAAACATAATTTAAATAATTTAGATTATTTTATAATTATTAAAAACCTTCTAGAGGATTGTGGATATATACATGAAGAGTATTTTGCCTCTTATCCTAGTGTCGACACTAGATGTTAGTTAGGCAAAAACCATGACAAAGTAATTAATGTAAAATCAAAGTGTTAAAATGCCAAATTATCTAAATAAATACTGTAAAGAATAATTTACTGGATTTATGATGCTTGATACTTGATGATGAATAACTAGAAAGCAAAAGTAAGCACATATGTGTTAGCGGAGTCAAAGAAAAGTTTGTGGAGGTGAAAATACACGTTTATAATGGGAGAGAAGATTTGACTTTGAAGAAGTCCATTTTTATGAAATTGCCTTCTCTTTTACTCGTAAATATTCTTTAAAATTAGAGTAAGTTACAAATTTGGTCACTTGCTTTACTAAATATCATAAGATTAGTAAATATTTTCATATTATTTCCACGTTCTTAAATTAGCATTTTGTTATGTGCTCCTTCTCTCATATAAAATGATTTCTTTTTTTGGAGTAGACTTGTAATATTAAGTAAGAATACAAGACCATGTCCACAACAAAATACAGACTTAAGAACAATATCGAAATACTTTCAAATTCTGGATTAAAAATACAAACTTGTATAAAGCATAGGGGCCAAATTTGTAATTCACTATTAAATTTATTAAATGATAAAAAAACAAAAGGGAAATAGCAGCCATGTCAATCTCCTCATGCTTTCCTTTTAAATCCAAAAAGACGTTAATACCCTTTCCTAACTCCACTCCTACTCTTCTTGACGCGACCGCCGACTTCACTCCTCGTCTGCCCTCCCACTTCTCACTTATCATGCCAACCTTTTATATTGCATATAATAAATAATAAATTTTCTATCCATATAATAAAATAAATCAAGTGTTGTTAAGCAAATGGATAATTTTATTACACTCGTTATATATTTTAAAAATACCACCATAAATTTGATACAGTTATGATATATAATTTGATATTTAAGAAGTTCAAAAATAATTATACGATGTTTAAATTCCGGGTTATATTTGGAATGCTCTATATAAAAAGTAAAAAAAGATTCTTAAATATAATGTTTTTATATAAACAAAAATTAATAATATTTTGATAAGTTGATTATTGTTATAAAATTTTATGAATTATAAATTATCTCTTATACTAATTTGTCACTAATTCAGAATAATTTAAGGTCTGTCTGATATTTTAAATGTTTTGTATAAAAAAATAAAAAATAGGTTTCTAAATATAATGTTTTATATAAACAAAAATTAATAATATTACGATAAGTTAATTATTATTATAAAATTTAAAAATTATAACTTATCTATACTTGATACTAATTTGTCATTACTATATTTTTAATACTTAATTCTAATGAATCTAAAAAATACTAGCCTCCTATATGACATGGGATTTGTGGTTGCACTTCACGCACATGTTTCAGGACCTAGTGTCTTCAAATTCCATAGATTTTCATTAGATCATCCTTCACAATAAATAAAAATAACTTTGTTACTTGTTAATCTCTCGTTAATTTTGATATTTATCATTTTGTGATATTTTTTAAATAAATAGTATTCACATGTCAATTTATTGGTTTTTTCAAATTTTAAAATTAAAAAACCAAATAATACTTTTATTTATATATGTAAAGTATTAATTAATTATAATAAATATGATAATAAATATGTTTCTTTATTCCTTATCTTAAAAAAAATTAAAAATCTTATTAATTATATTTTAGTATTATTTAATTTTTTTAATCAACCCGTTATATTAACCCGTATAATATAAAGGTCTTACACCTGGTTGTTAAATAAATTAAATCAAATTAAACATTGTAGAAGTGTATTTATAAACATAGTTCTTCATTTATTTAAAAAAAAAAGGAAAAAAACCTCTTAGCATTGACGGTGGTTTAATTTAGTTGAACCAAAGTCATTGACTAAAACTTATTTACATGTAAAATTTTAAATTGTTTATTTATATGGAAAGTAATTAATGAAAAAGAAGATTCACACAAATGGACAAATATTATATTTAATTAATAGGAGTATACTCATCGTATGGAAATTGTTAGTCAACTATGGTAGGGGAATACTTTTACTCTATATAAACCACACCAATATGGTATACGATAACCACTACAACACTTCCACTACCATTTCATACGCAACTATATTTTCTCTTACAAATTAAATGGCACTCGAAGCTCTAAACTCACCGGCAACAAACACGGCGGCGCCACCACCTTCCTTCCATTACAAAGACATGAATTTCCCGACCACCACCGTAATTCAAGATTCTTGGAATAAAGGCAAGCGTTCAAAGAGGCCGAGAACCACCACAAGCACGGATAGCGACATCACTCATCCATCGGAACCAGAACAACCCACGGAGGAGGAGTACTTAGCTTTCTGTCTCATGTTGCTCTCTCGTGGAAGAACAGACACCACCTCCACCGCCACCGCTGCCGCTGTCGCTGCCCAATCTCCTCCACTGCCACCACTTCATCAGTCTGTCTCTCACAAGTGTAGCGTCTGCAACAAGGGGTTCTCTTCTTACCAAGCACTCGGTGGACACAAAGCCAGCCACCGGAAAAACGTCTCCGAAGACCACCCGTCTACTTCCGCCACCACAACCGCCAGCGCCTCCGCTTCCTCTGTTTTAAAGCCTAGTGGAAGAGCCCACGAGTGCTCTATCTGCCATAGAACTTTCCCCACCGGACAAGCACTCGGTGGTCACAAAAGACGCCACTACGACGGCAACAACCCCGGTACCGGAGCAACCGCCAGCGGCGTCACAACCTCCGAGAAGACCACCTCCTCCACCCATAGCCAACCGCGTGGATTTGACTTAAACTTACCCGCATTCCCTGAATTCCAGTTGGGTTTGAGCGTTGACTGTGCGAAGAAAAGTCAACTGCTCATGAGCGAGCAAGAAGTTGAAAGTCCACATCCGGCGAAGAAACAGCTTTTGTCCGTCGCCGTCGACCTACCAAATTACTAAATTACCCTCAGATACAGTAAAATTGTTTGATCTTTTTACAATTATTTTTATTAGGGCATTTAATGTAAAGATATTGTTCATTTTATACGATTGATTTTATTCATTAATTAATGAAAATTGAGATTATTTGTTGGCATTAATTATTGGATAAATATTTGTTTAATTTTTGAGGGGTAAGGGAAGAGACTGGCGCCACCCAAAATGGTGGTGGGAATATTTAGTGGCTTTAAGGAAAACTTCCCATGTGAGTTCGTGCCTAAATTCACATGTCAAACACCTTAGATTCATGGGAAAGTGTTAGGTTTTGTTACAATGTATTCGGTCATTGTTTAAATTCTTATCAATTTAATTTGTTTATATATCATGTTAATTGATTTAATACATTAATTAAATGTTAACTCTTCTTGCATCGACTTGGTCATTTTGTTAATAGTGGTATGAGAAGAGATCGGTCAATATTTTTGTGAGAGGGATAAGGATCAAGTGTGGTTCGGGTCAGTCAAAAGAAGGGTTGAACCAACCAAAAAAAAAAAGTAAATTGCCCACCAATCCACCACTAAAAGGTTGAATGAGAGGAAAAGAGAGTATTAATGATCAATTTGTCATGATAATTGCAAAAATTGTGTTGTCATTTTTCTTGAAAACTATTTGATCTTTATGTGTTTCTTCGGCACAAGAAAGAGAGTAAGAAGTAAATTCGTAGTTGAATTGTTCGTAAATTGTAGAGTCAAAAGATGGAGTACAATACATATATATATAGTCATGAAATCCACAAAATGGACATATCGGGAATTATAATCTTCAGATATTATCAGCAGTTATGAACCAATCTCAACTATCTCCAGATGCCCATTGACCCTCGTATTATGTTTTGTATCAAACTCACATCATCCAAATGTGTACCCAACACCTTCGAGCTGTATTAGATAACAATTTGATATATGGTAACACTTAAACTTCAATTATACCAAAATGACAAGAGATACTAAAATTGTTTAACACATCTCCAGACCCCCCTCCCCCCACCCAACCAGGCCGCAAACATTCATAAAAAGTATTATGTAGCAAGTAAATTGGTTACCTACCATCCGATCCGTTCGGTTATTGGAAAATATAAAGTTTAATAAAAACTCATCCTAGACAAGTTACTTGAAGGAACTTAAAGCATCAACAATAGCAAAGTTTTTTAGCTAACCTTTTTCATACCACCTCGACGAAAGACCATGCCACGTAAGCAGAATCAAAAGTTCAAAATACCTCCACAATATCAACAGAATAAAAAATTCTAAATATCTATACAATATGAAAGGTTTTTAATAAAGCTTCTTCATAAATTAAAAATAATAAAAGACATATATGGCCTCGCCAAAATGATTAAAGAAGCTATTAACTTAGTTTTGTTATTGGTTGAAACTTGAAAACTATGGGGCCTCACTTAAATATTGAAAAGCTCTCCCTCAAAAGCTTGTTAATTAACAAGTTTTTGTTAAAAAAATAACTTAGAAAAAACTCTTACTATAGGTAATAAGTTTTTTCAAAGGTTTTCCATTTTAAAAAAAGTTTCTATTATAAATACTCTTGTAATGTCATTGTTTGATCGAAGCCCATAAGTTATTCACAAAAACCTCATAAATTCGGATTGAAACCAGCGAAATTTATTAAAAAAATATAGGAAGGACCAAAAACAGGTCATAAATTAGTTTATTATTTTTCATCTAAACCATGTAGCATGATTGATACATAGGGTATATGTTGACTTTAAAGCAATTGGGCGGTGGCCAAATTCCATCCTATGTCATCCCTTGCGATTGTACATAAACTGGAAAAGGTTTACAATGTGTTAAATTATGAATTAATTATAGTCCTGCTAAAAAAATATTTAAGTCACGATGGTAGATTTTTAAGTATTGAATGAGAATAGCGAGTTTGCACTCCGTTACTAACTTATTATATGCGTGTGAGGCTTGTGGGCCGGTCGATAATTACCTTTTTTTTTAACGACAAAAATCATTAAAAACCCACAAGATTAGCAACTGACTAAATCACGGGGAGAGTACAACAACTGAAAAAACAAATTGGATCCTAAAACGGTGTGGATTACAATTACCTTTTCTATAAACTGTTAAAAAGTGTTAGCATTTTCAGAGATTTATTTTAGAGTTTTTTCTATTGATCACTTATTTTTATTTAGAGATAATGACTTAAAAGCTAATATATATTTGGTCATTGATTTTTTTTTTCGTTTATATTTACCCATTCAACTTGTTAAACTGTACACATTTAGTTCTTATGTCCGGCTACTCCAACTAACTGGAAAAAATGATTTAATAAAGTAATATATTTTTCACTTTGTACACATATAGTCATTAATATTTTTTATTGCAAACTAAGTCCCTGTTGTTTTTTGTATATATTCAGTAATTATGACTCGTTTCTTTAGGTTTTTCTCATGGCATCCAACGTGTGACAATCATTAATGAGGTGTTTGAGGTTGTTGATCCTTATGGCTACCGAGGCCTCGGCTGTTTGGTTGCTTAGCTCTTGTGGTTTGGCTTAAGCCTTGTGTTCTGAAGGTCGTAATTGTTGGGTTAAGGTGTCTAAGCTTATAACTAAATTGATATATTCTTGTAATTCGAAACTACGTCATTTTTGGGTTGCCCTCATAACTAGAACTTTGTTAGAATGATATTTGTAGAGAGATGATAAATTCATTAGTTTATTATATGATTAATAAATTGTAATAAATGGTTTGTTAATATATTATATGATTAATATGTTAATTAGAAATAGATAGTTAATTTGTTAATTTATTATGTGATTAATAAATTAATATGAGATCAGTTGTTAAATAATTAGTTTATTAATTTATATGATTAATAAGTTAATGTGAAATCAATTAGAATTTATTAATTATTAACCAGAATTAATTTGAAATTAATTTGTGATTAAATAAATTTAATTAAAGGTGCAAGGACTCAGATGTAATTGTTAAATAATGAAACAATTTAGAGGATCTAGAAACCTCCATCATATGGATGGTTTTGAGGACCCTATTAGGGTTTCTAGAAGCCTTCAAATGATAATTATGAAACTAGATAATTGTCTTATTTGAGATATTATTATTATATATGTTCACATTTAGGGTTTCCTGACAGCTATAAATAGGACCCTTGGGTCAGCTACTTTCAGGCACTTCTTTATCTAGAGAAATCTGAATTTCTCATGCTCTAATCCTCTCTCCTCTATTGTCTTCTAATTCTAGGGTTTGGGTGTGAGCCATTAGAGGCGTCATCATTTTGGTGCTAAGCTTTCCAAGACCAACAACTACACTGGATTGAAGTGATTTGTTTACTACAACAAATCAAAGGTATGTAACCCTAACTTGGTATTTTGATTACATTAGGGTTCATGAAAGTTTTTTTGTTCATTGTATGTTACATTCAAAGTTTTATAACATAGATCATTTGGGTTGCATGTGCCCTTAAGTGTTAAGTGAAATTCCACAAGTACATTATTTTTGTAACCTATAAAACTCATCAGTGGTATCAGAGCCTTGGTTTATCTAACATTGATTACATGAGATGAACCGAATAAAATAATTTTTTCGAAGAAAATTGCCTGTCACGACGTGACTCTAGTACAAATCCAAATTTCAGGATTCTCTGCCTAATCTGATTTATGTGATGATTTTTGGTAATTATCTGGGTTTAATTATGCCATAATCTGAGTTTTGAGTTCCTTAGATAATTAAAAATAAAACCCTAGATACTAGGAGATAATTCTGAATAGATAATTTTTAATTATGAGATTAATTAAATTGAATTATCCTTATACATTTAATAATAAATTTAATTATATGATTAATTAAAAGATAATTATAAGTCCATGATAGGTTTAAATTGATTAATTAATTATATGATTAATTTAGATAATTAATATCTAAACCTTGTGTTTTAAAATTTTTTATATACAACTTGTATATATATATATATATATATATATATATATATATATATATATATATATATATATAGGGGTGAGATCCGTTGAGAACTCATAGTTTCCCGAGAACTAAATGTGGAGCGTCGAATCAAAATTAACTTCTTAAGGGCATGATCGTCTTCTTACCAATCTCATGTAACTTTTTGTATTATTAGAAGTATTAATAAAAAAACTCTCAAATTAACATTATAAATCAAAATTTTGGAATTTTTATAAAAATAACAATTTTCGTTTTTTTTTAAATTGCAGATTTTTTAATTTTTTCAGAAAACATAATTTTTTTTTAAAAAGTTGAAAAAAAAACATTTTTTTTTTCAAAACTGCATTTTTTTTAAAAAAACAGTAAATTTTATAAACTTAGTAAATTTAAAAAAAAAACTGGAATATTTAAAAAAAAAACTATAACTTTTTTAACAAAAAAAATCAACCTTTTAGGAGCATATAAGCATATTTTTTCAAGTGAATGTATACATATTTCTTATACTATAATATTCGTAAGTATATCATACAAAAGACACATTTTTATTTACTAATCTATAAACACAATAGAATAAATATCTTATTCGATACAAAATAAAATATACAAAACAAAAAATGCTACAAATTTCAAAGCGTTTCATGTCTTCATGTCAATATTTCCATATTTTCTTCAATTTATCATTTTTCATCTCTTCAATATTCACCACAATTTTTTCCAAATCTACAAAAAAATTAAAAAGAAATTGATTGATGCAATAACAGTCACAAAAATACATATGTGATTTACATGTGAATCACATGTAATTCATATGTGATTTACATGTGAATCACATGTAATTCATATGTGAATCACAAGTGAATTACAATATGAAATATATGAAGCTATTCTATGTTGCACGGTTGCAAATATGGGTGATCGTATTTGAAATGTTTCATCTAATAAATTTTATATTTTTTAAAGCCAATACTAACCATGGTTTTATTACTTCATCACAGTGTACAATTGTTGCCTCCTCGAT